CTGCATGAAGGGGTCAATTTTCCTTGTCGTCGTATGTTCGCGACACAACCGCGCGGTTGCATTAAAAAACTCGGATTTTCTCACTAGACTACCTCCCCCAAAAAACCGCACTTTTACCGCCTAATTGTCGGAAAAACCTCGATTTTTATAGTGACGCTCACGGCTTCTTCCGCTGACCAATATCATGGTCGACCTAGGAAGTCAGGCACTTTTGCACCTCACTGATCTTAGTGCCGAAGCAAGTAAGTCAAGCGGATATGATAGCTTAAACCTAGCCCCGATCATCCAGAGCCGGTTTCGAATGCGATTGCGCTCTGCGTGTGGTACTGAAGTCGTCTCGCGACCCTTTCTAGCTTATGCTACTAGGCGTGGGTGCCGCTCTCGTAAACATAACCAGAGGTCCACCTAAAAACCCATGCGTGCCCTCGAAGTGCACGTCCACACACTCTCTAATCAGATCAAAAGCGCGTGCCATTCCCAACCCCTGAGAGTTGGTTGGGGTCACACAGAAATGGGGCACTCTCTCGAATACCGTAAAAAACGCACCTTCTGCGAGATACAAAAATGTGCACAAATACCCTTGTAAGGGTATTTGGGCCGACAACGTACCTCAAAATAGCTGCCCCCCAACCACAGATATTCTCAGCAGATGACCTGATGCCGACTGTGATGACCAATCGCTGCTTTGGCACAACCAACATTACACTGCTGTTCCACCTCAGCATCAATCGCACAGCAGATAGTTCTCATCACACTGCGAACACCCAACATTCATTACGTAGCCTTCCTGGCGGTACCCCTCACCTCCTGGGTCGCCTGCTTGCCTTCACCCTCCTCACTACACACTCCCTACGGCCGCTCGCCTACCAGACCGTATGCATGTACCGCATAGGCAGAAGACAAGCGCCAGATGAGCGCAACGTACCACAGCTCCAATACCAAATTGCAAGGAAAATGAGCGATAGCGAATTTCAGAAACCAATCAGAAACACGAGTTCCACCAAATAAGAGCACAGCAAAAACTCATAAGTGACAATGTTGGAATAGTCTCATCATCATCAACAAAGAACCAATGTCGATATCCTATCTGGCACTCGGCGCCCCGACTACAAATGGCAGATCCTATCTAGCCTATCTACAATGCCGCTGGTGACGTCAACAGCTCCCTGAAGTACGAGCAGATCTCGGCCAATGCCGTCCGCCTCAAGCACCATGTATGTCTCTCGTATCACTCACAACCTCGATCCCCCACTCACAGATGCCACATGCACCCAAGGACCACCATGCGCCCCATCCAGCTATGCAGCGCAGCTGGACTATGGCTGCCTGCCTCTCCCTGCTCGTCCGTGAGTGCGTGAGCCTGGCCAGCGTGTAGCGCAGCAGCGCATGCGCAGCATGCAGCCAGTGCCCGAATGAGGAATGCGGGGGCAGGCACTTTCCTAGATGGAAGTGGCCTGCCTGCTGTGCGGGACCTGGCTGCACCGGGCCCCAGCCTAGAAGCTTCCGGTAGGCCCCGGGAGGCTGAGCCTCAGTCCAAACGAATCGGGCCCAGGGCCTGTGGTGGTTACTCATGCCCAACTGCCCTCAGCCTGGGTTCAGTCCATGTTATGTATCTGGCCCAGGGCCTGCCTCAGTTACATACGATAAGGGCAGCCTGGGCCTGGGGCTTCCAACCAACTGGCGCTGCGCAACTGCCTGAATTTTCTCCAGTTGCGTGGTAGTCCAAAATAGGCCTAGGTTGGGCCTGCCTTCACTTAGGGCGGCCGACCTTGCTGATAACGGGGCCCAGTAGGGCTTACTGAGGCCTTGTGCCTCGCACCACCATTCTTTTGGCTCAATGGGCCAGGCTCGGAATTCACAGCCCTAAGGGTGCAGTATCTTGGGTTTTGCATCTGTATTAACGTCCCTAAGGTGACGGTATAGTGGGTTCCCACGACGTCGTTCGCAGCCCTAAGGCTGCAGTGTAGTGGGGTTCTGAGTCTGTGTCATGGAGGCACAAATTTTGCAACCGCCCGAGCGGGGTATAGAAGGGGTGGGAGTTTGTTGATGACTGGTCCTTCACATTTCTGCGGAGGACCGACAGCTAATTGCTTGCACTACTGGTAACTTTGAAACGCTTAGGACC